CAGAAGAATAGTCAAAAATATCAGAGGACACTACACAAAATTTGGTAGAATCTATACCGAGAAGATTACTAGCCACGTAGAATCTAAATAATTATAAACTTACGGTTGTAATCATAGGTGTACAAATACGTTTCTGACTTACAAATTTTTATATTTATTGTATTGTAGTAGAATTTTTGTGGAATGCAAGGATTTTCTTTGGTATCTGGGAAAAACACACAAAAGTTTATTTATCTTTCGTCGATACATGTTAAATGTCTGGTACAGAATAATTTCGAACAAATCAACGCAGTGTTCGAGCTGTTGCTTTTGCTTTCGGGCGTCCGGCTTTACGCAGCCGTACTCTCCCGTTACAATATTAACGAAACGGATAAAACGATTTATAACAATTACTGTGGGAGGGCGTCCGGTGAGCCTCCTGTACTCTATTCTCTGGAAGGCGTCCGGCGGATAGTCCAGCCGTTCTTTCCATTCCAGGAGTGACCCAGGTGTAACTCCCGTACTCTCCTATCACAATATTATGTAATACGCGAGAAGTGATTTATGACAATTATTGTGGGAACTATATACCCGCACTCCTTCCAAGGAAAAGCGCGCTAAGGGCGCAATGGAAGGGTGGGTGACACTCAAGGGACACGTTGATTGGTAATTTATGCGTACGTGATCAGCGTGCCTTCTTACACTTGGCGGGGGAGTCACGGCGGACTCCAGAAAAATTCGGCAATCGAGCGAGAGATTGAGGAAAGGTTCCATCGGAGTTATTTAAAACAAGTCGTCAATCGTTTCGTGACGCACTCTACGTTTTAAATTTGAATTAGTTACCTAAGATTAATTTGGCGGGTAACAGTCGTGAACGCGAGCTTTTTGAACAATCACAAGAGAGCGCGACGCGACAGCACCCTATTCAATATTTCTTGTCGTCAATCGTTTCGTGACGCACTCTACGTTTTAAATTTGAATTAGTTACCTAAGATTAATTTGGCGGGTAACAGTCGCGAACGCGAGCTTTTTGAACAATCACAAGAGAGCGCGACGCGACAGCACCCTATTCAATATTTCTGGTGTCACTTCAGTACAAGCTTGACACATGTTCATTTTTATATCATCCCGCGTTGTAGGAACTGACAGTGTCTCTCTTTGTTTTAGGTACCCCTAAAGAAAATAATAAAGAGATGTTAGATTTAGCAATCGCCGGTGGCCATGTCACTTGACTTCCACGTCGTACCCATTTTCCGGGAAAAATTTCGTTCATTGCGTTTTTTGAGTTGCATCCACATCATAAGATGCACTTCTTCTAATAATTGTGGAAGTTTATTTCGTACAAAATTAGTATATACGTTTGTTCACTTAAACAATCTCCAAAAAAGTACGAACCAATGACATAATCTCCTATGATACCACGGAGATGGTATTACATTTCTAGTATTTGTAAAATTTGCTTCTTCAGGCAAGAGTACATTTGCTAAGAAGGAAGAAATGTATTCGTTTCATGTTATGCACTTTCACTTAACTCTTGGTGCAAAAAAATGCGACAAGGATGCAAACGCTGAGTGCAAATTCTCAATACGGATCTTTGACTAATTCCACTTTCTACTGCTATGCGTCTACTACTTGAATGTGAATTAATTTCAACAGATGCTAATGCATTGACCGCAGTATTAATGCTAGTTTTTATTCTTTTTCTTTTTTACTTGCTGCACGGTGTTTCAACGAATTAAGTGCCTTTGCAGTCGCTAAAACGGGATTAGAGGATAAAAAACTGTGCTGCATGTTTGTAATCTTTCCGGCACTTTCCTAACGCAATGACTACGTCAAAAAATTCTTCAAACGCGTTCATTTCTCACGACTTTTAACAGCTCGCAACTAATGAAAACAATATTTTGAAACATTATAGGGTGATTCCACGCCAAAGCGATCACTTTTCGACGTCGACATCAGGGATTTTGTTCCAAATGAAAAATAATGTAGTACATGTGGAATTAGGGGGGGATTAAGTTATCATTTAGCTGATTTCGAATTTGTTTAAAATATACGAACCTTTGAATTTGGCAACTTTTGCCCAATTGAGCTCATTTTTGTTTTGTTTCACTCTAGAAGTATTGCCCTACTGTAACAATATTTTTGTTATTTAAAAAATTGATTTTATAATACTGAAAATAATAAACAAACTCTTATTTTGTAAATTTCTCTGTGATGGGCTAGAGGTGTTTAAATTAAAAAAAAAAATGGTCACATTCCCTGAAATTCTACCTACAAAATAAGTTCTGTGGCGACCACCACCCTACGACGTCGACAAAGAAAGCGTCGATCGAGACACGATCGTCTCACGCGCGGGTGGAGCGGCAATTAAGACACAAGTCCTGTGTGCGTTCGTTGACGCCGCTCTGCGCAAGCGAAATAGATCCTCGCCTAACCGTCGCGCGGCCCGTGAGGAAAGCGGGGGATGAAGGATGCGCCGCGCGGCGGAGACGCGTACGACAGAAAGTTCAGTTCGTCACGAGACGAGAGAACAGCCAGAAGTGAAATAAAGATTTTCGAGCGATACACGTGGAAGTCATTTCGCCTGTGGCACCTGATCCCACAAGCCCTCTTGTAGGATGGAGTCTTTAAAATTAACTTCGACGGACATTTGCGGTAGCAATGACCACCCATGTTGGACTCCTCTATTCATACGCTTTCCAATGATGTATTATACGACCAAATAAGCGTGGGTCCAAACACTATAGTTCAGCTTATGTCAATATTATTACCTACAGAGAAAAGTGGATTAACGTAAAGTTGCATGGTTTCAAGGGAGACCATAAGGGATAGGTTAAACGCTTCTAGGTGAAGCTGTCTCTGTGATTTGAAGGTGGCCTTTGATTTTTTAAATGGAAACATATGTTTGTTATTATAACAAGATTGTAGTATAGTTTTTCTGAATTCAACCATCTCAGGTCTTAATGGTCTAGCTGTGGTAGCTGCTTGTAGAAAGAATAAATTACGAGAAGAAGAAATTATCATTCTTTTGCTAATGTTAGCTTTAATTATAGAAAGTGTTCAATGTAACAACCATTTACATCACGGCACTTTCGAAATTGATAAAGTAACGATTGTCTTACATTGTCTTACATAGAGATGATACGCTCCTTCATACTAGCCATTATAGTTGGAGTTTTTGTGTACAAGAGAGTGATGGTTTCTTCTCAAAATTTTGTTTTTCCTGCAAACAACTACCAAAGCATAATCAAATGGTTATATTCAGTCTAAATACAGTAAATTCTCTACAAGTTCAGTCAGTTTGGATTCTACAAGTGTCAGTATAGATCGTCCTACGCATAGGCTGCGTCATTGCTGCGCCTATGTTATCTCGCTCGCAGTCAGTCAAGTGTGTAACGCTACACCACTCGGTTTCTTTTACGAGATTTCACGGCTCGATAATTCATAATAGAAAGATATAATTTCTTTAATTTTACTTTTTTTCATCTGAAATTTTTTTTAACATGTTGGTGAGATTTTTCTGATGAAAATGATATCAAACACGATATAATTTGAACGACATTTACTTATTCACTGTCACGCCAGACAGTGAACGTGTTAATAAGTAAATGTTCAAATTATGTCGTGTTTGATGTCATTTTCATCAGAAAAATCTCATCAATATGTTAAGAAATATTTCCGGACAAAAAAACGTAAAATTAAAAAAGTTGTTATTTAAATCGCTTGTTGCCTCGACTCACGTTTCATCCTTATCTTTTATTACCCGGCCTTGTCTACGTTCGGCAAACTACAAAGGCGGGCGCGAGGCTCGAAAACGTAGTCCCTGACTCTACAAGTGTCAGGTTTAGATTCCTTGCGGACTGACACTTGTGGAGAATTTACTGTAGACTTGAGATGGTTGTATTCAGAAAAAAGTGTACTACAATCCTGTTAAAAGAAAAACATGTGTTCCCATTTAAAAAATCAAAGGACACCTTTAAAACTCCGAAGCGTTTACACTCAGAAAAATTTTGTTTTACCTACCTTATATTCCCCTTAAAACTACGTAACTTTACATGAATTCATTTTTCTTTATAGATGATAATATTGACGTAAATCAAGATAATTATATCGGGTGATCCATCCTGTATATAGGGTGTCTTAAGTTGAGCAATACAACCAGGCGGGGGGTAATTCTATAAGCAAAAATAAGTCGAAAAGAAGAATAAACTTTTTCGTTTGAGGTTTCGTTTTGGAGAAAATTGAGTTTGAAAATTCGTCGAATAAATACTTACATGTGTTCTCATTGTCAGACTGGACGTCAGACGTTGAATAAAGCATCGGCGACTTCTGTTTACGGACGAGTGTCGGCATTGCAATAATATATTTAACATTTAATTGATTTCAATTTTCGAAATTTCATGTTAAAGTAATAAAAACTCTAACATGCTCAATATCACAGGAAAACAAAATGCCAGCAAAAATGTTTTCTTTATCGATGCATTTTTACACCATACTGAACGGATATCAACTTAACAAAATACTTTTAAGAATTTTAATACTTACGTTTATTAATTTAGGAGTTGTTGAAAGTGATGCCTCGTTGTTGCATATAAATTGTTGCTCTTCGAATTACAGAAGCATGTACAGCTGGTAATGTATTTTGAATCTTTAGCTGTTCAAACGCTGGTCCAATTATATTCCGATTTAAAAATTTTTTTACTTCTCGCAGTAAAATGTAGCGATCCTTGATGTTGCGGCGATGATCGGTATGCAAGTTTGTCTTTTCCGCAAGTGTCGTCTATGTAATCTTTGCCGTGATATCAAAAACATATACCGCTCTTACGAGCAACAATTTCTATGCAACAACGAAGGCATCACTTTCAACAATTTCTAAATTAATAAACGTAAGTATTAAAACTGTTGAGATAAAACTCTGTAGAATATAGACACAAGTATTGTCAAATTTTATTACATATTGGATGAAAATGTTTTTGTTACAGATCACAATTAAAAGAAAGAGGATAACTCAGAGATTGACAATGAACGCACTCGTATTACTATTAGCGTGTGTTTGTTTGGTACAATGCGGCCCAGCAAAGAAACAAGCTCGTGATCAAGAAGCTGCAAGTTTCGAATACGGATACGGTCCGGGATTAGGGATTGCTGACCCCATTGCGTACGCTGAACCTGGTCCTCTTTTAGCTGCAGCTCCAGCCGCCCATGGACGTGGGCCTCCTCATCCAGGTTTCAGCGTTGGTGGACCTTTGGTTAATATCGCCACCGGTGCAGCAGAACAAGCTCATACGCAGTTAAGTAACCAGCAATCTGCTGCTGGGCAGGCTGCATACGTGGCGAAAAATACTTTAGCTCAAGCTGCTGCTCAATCTGCAGCTACCGCTGCCGCAGCACTTACTGGCAAACAGATTGTAGTTCAAGGGTTGGAGCAACAATCGAAAGATGCTCATGTAGCGGTAGATGGTGAAAGTTTACAATTACAGCAAGCCGAACGCGCTGCAAGCGCAGCAAGGACCACTGCCAAACAGGCAATGCACCAGTTGCAAGTAGTCACAGCAGCTTTGAATGCCGCTCAAACGACGGCCGACCGTGCGGCGCAGGCTGCCGCGGAAGCTGCAGCTGAGTTAGCGGCGCAAACTACGATGGTTGGCCAAGCAAAGGCAAGAGTAGAAACGGTAGACGAACAACTCTCCGCTGCTCGTCTTGATTACGAAAGCACTCAAGCGGCTGCTCAGAAAGCTGCGACCGCAGCTGCAGCTGCACAGAACAATGCCGCGGCCGCGGCCGCACACGTGGCCGATACCGCTGCCGCTTCTGCACTTTTGTCTCATGAACCAGTGAATCCTGCGCCAGTTGCGAAACTTCCTCCCAGTCACAGTGTCCTCCGAGAACCAACGGGCTTGCGCGACTCTGGTGCATACCTCTCACCCGCTGCGCTTCACGACGCTGAAGGTCTTCGTGCATCTGCCGCGCTTCAGGAATCTGCTCTTCTTCGCGCGTCCAGCGGGCTTCATGATGCTGGATCACTTCACGCGTCTGCCGCGTTACAGGAAGCTGCTGCGATCCGCGCATCTGGCCTCCTCCATGAACCTGCTGCTCTTCACGCATCGGCACCAGTTCATGAATACGGCGCTGCTCTTGGTCCTGTGAGTGCGCTCCAATCACCGAATGGGCTTCATCGCTCGGAACTCCTTAGTTTAGCGAATTCCCTACCCACTGATTACGATATTAAAGGTTACCGGTACTAGATTCCTCCAAATTCGATATTTTAATGGAATCTAGATGTTGTCCTTTTTATTCAAAAATGGTGAAATATTATGTTACATCTGCCAGACTGTAAAATAAAATATTGTTGAAGTCTTAAGCATTTTCTATTTAATTTCTTCAAGGATTTCGTACCGATTTCCCATTAATAAACCTGTCTTCTCCTTCTTTGCTTTTTAGACAGTAACATAAATATGAAAAATTAGACATATGTAAACAAAAAAAAAAATAAAATTTTAAACGTACAGGTATACAAAATATTAATAAGTAACTAATGCATTAACCCTTATGTCATTAACCAGAATTGTCGCCTACTTTATCGTCCCATTTTAGTAGTTTTCTGATAACAAAATTCTAAACTAGAGGCAAACACGGATAGGAAATGTGCGAAATAACAACGATCTGGCCGGATATTTAAATCTTTTACCTGGAAGATAAAATATTTTAAGTAAGAATTATGCAAAAGGATACCCGGATACCCGGTTATTGACATAAGGGTTAACAAAGGAGGGTCTCCAGTTGTAAATCGCCCATTTAGATGAAACTTATGTATAATGTACTTTTCGACAAAATTTTTGGCATATATTTCTTTAGGTGTTAACTGTTAGAGGTTGAAGGACCTGTTTCATCAATATTGCTTACATACATATTGGGTTTAGAAAAATAGTACAGATGTACAAAATGTGCAAAAGTGCTTTCCACAAATGTCTTTTAATTTCAAAATTTGTCTATGTACATACATACATAGTTCTTAAAAATATCCATTTT